ATACCACTGTTTGTAAAACTCTTTTAGAACCTATATAGAACATACAATTATTTGACGTTTTGTCTCAGACGAACGTACGAAGCACTTCGTGCGAAACGGTCGTAGCGCTTTAATTGTAATAGTATTTCAAGATTTGTTATTATTTTATTTTTAGTATTATTTAGACTAAGCATCAATGATCTGCTCATTAAGTGTTTTGGGGAGTTTAAACAAATAATTAATTATTAATCATTAATCATAAATAAAAAAATCATGTTGAAGCCATCTTCATTAATCCTTATATTTAATCGATAAGTAGCTTTTAGTAACTTATCCCACAGACCTGTCTCGTAGAAATGAAATTCGATTCCAGTTATTAGTCAAATTCAGGACTCACGGTAGATCAGATATATAAGTGATGAAAATCCACTTATAAATTCCATAAAAACGTTGGTACAGATGACGTCAACTTTCATCGTATACATCTTCTTTGTAACTTCTTCCCACAACGAGTTAATTCCGGGTACTCTTAAAATAAATCTTAGAATTTTCGGAACAAAATTACTTCCTGACACTTGCAGTTTGTATTATAAACCATTTTGTAGGAAGTGCATGACCTAATGTTCCTATATTTAACTTAAAAATTTAGCCGTATTTGTTATTTATTTAACGTCACAAACAGTGAAAACTGTGACGAAGGAAGGAAGCAGAAATACTGTGTATTTCTGCAGATCAGACGACCTTCAGATAAGACTACGTATACATGTTCGTCACGATTTTACAGTTTTAGCATATATCTGTTCTACAAGACGACCCCGAACTCTCAATGGCCTATTATTTTAGTTTAGAGCAGAGGTCATCAATTCTTTGGAACTGGCAGCGCAACAACACTGTCTTCTGGCAAATATTTGTATTTATTAGGGCATTCGGGCATTGTACTATTGCGTTAAAGGAAAAGACGTCTCCAGAGGAGTTACGATTTTGCCTGACAAGCGCCTAAATTCGTACTCGCGTGCACTATCAGTAACAAGTTTCGTTGTAGGTTGTGTCATGTGTTCAAACAGTGTGCGATTTCTAATACTATGAATGCCATCGAGGACGATTTTTTATGGAATACTGTTGACGAAGAAAAAACCGACTCATTAAGTACAGAGTGGGATCCATATGTCGAACTTCTCAACAACGAAATTGAGTTTAGAGGATGAAGGAATTGAGAATGTACTTAAGGAACTATTTGCCTCGGATGATGAATGTGAGAATTTAATTTTTTTCTCTATCTGACCCATACAACCACCCGTATTCTGTGATTCCTTTTTGTGATTCACCTATCGTCTTATCTATCGAAACATAAGGAATCTATACAGTTCTGTAGCAAAGTAAGGGGTCGTCTTATCATTTCTTCAATGAATCAAGAGACTAGAGGGAAAACTCGATCGAGGAGGGTATTGAAGACATATTAAATAGTTTTTACAGACATATTATTCGGTCCCTATAAATGTTGTTGTCCTTATCATGTTGAAATATACAACATAAACGTTAAATATTGCATTAGTATCTTTTCCACAAAATAAGTATACGTATTGTTTCCAATTCTACCCAAATTCGACATTAATGTTCTTGTATATTACTATTCGGCCAATGAATTTCGTAAAAACTAATTAAACCCTAAGCAAAAAAATATTTAGGACATATATGTATTAGCTAATATAAACATTGATTATATTTGTATTGTCATATTGATAATAATTACCATCGATCATGCGATATTTTTACGGTTACTTCCATCACGACAAGACACCTGCAAACTCCTTGACGCATATTTCGAACACAGGTTTCCGCTTGTAAGCTGTCCAGACCTACTTAACCCGTAACAGTATGTAGAAAGCCCTCTCGCTGGGCAGTCGGTTTATCGCTGCTCTTAATATGACAGCTACAATAACGAAGCGAGAAGCGATGATGTGATGCCTAAGGGGATTATCGATCTATCGGATTTTACGATCCACAGACCGGTCTCCTGTGCACAGGTCATTCCACAACCAGGAGAATTCGTTATTCGACCGCACCAAGCTACAGAACGTATGAAGTTTTGCTTGCCGTTTATATGTCTTTTTTTTCAAAACTAGGCTTCAAAGTTTCCATTATTTTTTCCTCGGATAGAGCAAATGACGTTCAGAAACGGGGCAGGTCCCATTTTCAGGGAACTCTCCGTACTTTCGTAAATTGCAAAAAAAATGAACATTGCAAAACGACAATATTGTTAATATTTTTGTCTTAATAAAATCTCTTCTTTACAAATAGATATTTAAATAATATAAATGAAAATCTCTACATATCTGAAAATTACAACTACAGAGGATCAACTTTTTTAAGCATTGCAGAGGGTGTGGTCAGTCTTCCGACTATGAGTGTGAGTGTTATGTGCTTGGCGTGTTAACTATAGGGCGCTTGAGTTCGAATCTCGTCTCGGAGAAAAAACTTAGTGGGATGAAAACATTTCTTTAGGTTAATATAGTACTACAATATTGCGTAGCCGCTTCAGATATTGCAAGAAAGTATGCGATGTTGTAGCATCACAATTTTTTAATGATATAGATCAAAATCTCGAATGATCTAATGTGACTTATGTAATTTACATTTTTTCATCTAAAAGACAAATTTTGTTATTTTTACTGTTCATTTCAATTATGTGCTTTTTGTGTATGTCTTCCATACTAAATTAATTGTTTAGTAGTTGTTTGTAGCACACCGAGGAGGTTTGCTAATCTGCAGAAGAAAAGTATGTGATTTTACAAACTGATTGGATGTGAATGTCGAAACATAATTATGTGATTTTCCCCTTTTGTGTTATTTTTTGATTTCCTGAAATCGAGAATAAAAACTTTAAATGGACAGTTTGCCTTCCACTTTTGGGACGTTTCATTAGTTTATTATTCTATGGTGATAGTGGAGTTTTTCGTCACCAGTTTGGAACATTGCTTTGGTAATCATGAACTTGTCTTATGCTCGTTCTTTCCGAGCCCTCACTCAAGTAGCATTTCATATGCACTCGTCACCTAACTCTGGTGAAGCCAAATGCAATTGTATAGTTCTAGTCCAGAACAAATCGTTAATGCAGACAATGATAATATATTCAGAGATTCACTGTTGCTCTGCAGTGCAAAAACTTCAGTTCTGAATACATTGTTTCATTGATTGATTAGCGTTACCGGGCGCGTCAACCGGTAATATCATTAGTCTCGTAAGTGATTTGAATGTTTTTGTCGAGGAGGGTGGCTGTGATCTCCTCCGCAGAATGGGAAGATCCAGCGCCGATCCAGCGACTTCGGATTGCGAAATTTTCCCTAACGAGGTATCTCCCGCCAGCGGGGCCCCGCCCCAGCTGAGATAAGCTCTAAGCTCCCGGCCGGTCTCCCGGCATGTGTGATAATGTAGTGCATTTTATGTACGTGTGTAAGTAAGTAAGGGGTGAGGATAGGAAAAGGAAGAGGAAGGAAAGATCACACGCGGTCCGTCGCCCGTTCGTTGGGGTACAGCTCCGTCATTCGCCTGTTGTTGAACGAAGAAACCACGGAAAACAATCGATCAGAGCAGCCAGCGGCTAGAATTCCCTTCCAGACAGCGGTAGAAATCGACCTAGCTATATGGCTAGCGTCGGAAAGCCTGTTAGAACCCTAGTACGTCCTGGCCGGGGCCACTGCAGCGACATCATTTGATGCCCATTTGACAATCATTTGAAGCCACCTTAACTGGTAGTACTGAATGGGGTGTAGCAGGCTTTTGTAACCTTAAGCGCATGGTTCCTCGTTCGCATTATCTTCGCTTTAAATAATATAATTGCATTGCGTTTACATTAGAAAAAAATTAAATATGGAGCCATATAAATTTAAATTTCATCATTCTATGCTAAATATAGGAATGAAAGAATACCTTACTGAACACAGATCTCCCTTAAATATTCCGCAAAAAAATCATGTAAAGAGTTATTGTTATTTGAGGAAGTATGGTGTAATCTGTTTCATTACATTTCTTTCATTTTGGAGATAATTCCATTTCTTTGCAACTGACGCGCGCGCAATCCAAACACTGCATTCTGGAAGCAACAGGGCAGCTTTGCTGCATCAAATGGTTGAGGAGGGGTGATGGCAGCCATCGTAAACCCAGCCCAGCGACGACAGGATGTCCCTGCTTCCAGTCGTGCGAATTCGCCTCTTTCCTAGCTGTCAGGACGGGCTCGCCTCGCCACGCCGTGCCGTGCCGTGCCGAGAC